TTCCCGGGCACTCGAACATCGGGAATACCCGATATCGGAAATATTACCTCCGGATGCCCATTTGTGAGAGGTGGCGTTTGAATGCAAGAACCTGGGGTGAACTCGTGCATGCTCCAGATCACCTGAATTTACATAACACACCCAAACCCATTTTGTTATAATAACAGTATCAATACAGAAATTATAATAAAAAAAAAAGGAAAGATTAAAAAATTGTAGACCTTATGATTAAAAAAAAATTAAAAAATTGTAGACCTTGAATCAGAGTAGATATAGTGGGGCCGATTTCGTAAGCTCCGGCTCTCCAGAAACTTCGATCATCAAGTGGCCGGAAATTCGCTGCCGACGAGTCGCCCTTGTTAGTTACGGAGGCAGACTGAGTTGTAGTTGGTGGTTTGGTATGGAATTTCGCGCCATTGAATTGTCTACTGTTAACAGGGTTGTTGATTTCGTCGTCGCTGCTGTCGAGGTCGACAATATCGGCGGTGGCAGGGATTTGCTTCTGGTGTTTGGGCGGCATTCTTTGGGTCTGCTAAATCTTACCCCGGGAAGTTATATATTTAAGGGTAAATTTCACTTTCTTTTTCTTCGAAGTAATTTGCTCAATTGCATCGGTTTGCCCCATCTTTTGTACTTTGATTCGATATAACTTTACCATTTCTACTATCAATTTATCGAAATGGCTCTTGTACTTTGGTTTAATATTACTTTACCACTTTTTACTCTCAATTGCATTGATTTCCCCATGTACTTGAAAAATTGTCTCAGTGTGGCTGTCGCCGTTAGTTTTCAGACATTTGACCTTAACACCGTTTGATTTAAGTCTGAAAATTACAAAAAAACAACCCCTCCCAATTTAAATAATTATTAAAAAAATAAAAAATAAATAAATAAACAAAAACTAAAATAATAAAAAATTCAAGACAATGAGAAAACATAGTCCACGCGTCAGCCACAATTTTTTAATTTTTTTTTTATTTTATTAATAATTATTTAAACTGGGAGGGTGGGTTTTTTGTAATTTTCAAACTTAGATCAAACGTTGTTAAGATCAAAGGTCCGAAAACTAACGACGAGGGTCACATTGCGACAATTTTTCAAGTATGTGGGGGCAAATCGATCCAACTGGGAGTAGAGGGGTAGTGTAATATTGAGCGAAAGTACAATGGGGCAAATCGATGAATTGAGAGTAGAAGGGGTAAAGTGATATCGAACCAAAGTACAAGGGGGCAAATCGATGCAATTGAGAGTACAAGGGGATAAAGTGATATCCAACCAAAATACAACGAGGAAAGGCCATATATTAAAAAAAAGAAAAAAAAACAATTGTTTTTATTAATTAATTCTAAAATATATTTTATTTAACACCGTTGAAGATTTCCTTGAGTTAATTGTTGATTTTTTTGATTATTTTATTTAATGTAATAAATTGATTTAAATAAAGAAATTATAAATTCTAAATGCAAATGTAAACGACTAATTAAAACGAAATTTCAAGAAATCGTCCATGATTTCCTATATATATATATATATATATATATATATATATATATATATATATATATATATATATATATTCGAATTTTCTATATTTATTTATTATTTCCATTTTGATATTTATTTTCCATTTTTTAAGAATCAAAGTCTTCAATTTTATTTATTAATTTCGTTTTCGGTTATATAAATTATAGTAATGTTTTAGTTATTGTTATTTTCTCCTATTAATAGGGAATTAAAGAGATGAGTGGAATCTCATTATCCAAAAAATTAGCTCTTAACTCTAAAAAATTACTTTTCGGTTTTATACATCTCATTTTCCATCAAGGGCTCGTTCCCAATTTTCTTTTTTCTTTCTTTTTTTTTTTAATTTTTTTTTTCCGTCAAGGTCCGTTCCGGAACCGTTCAGACCGTTCCGGAGCCGTTCCGGTGCTGTTTCCCGCTACGTCTCGCCCGTCTCGGTGGTCCGCCGCATCAAGGGGAGAGAACGATTTTGTTAGGGATTCCGGAACGGCAAACACCGTTCCCGTTCCGGAACGGCCGTTCCGGCGAACCCTGAAATCATCCGTTTCTAAAAGTAACTTTAATGCTCATAGAATATGTGGTTATGAATGTTGTGTTGTGACGGAAGGTTAGTCATAAGGCCCATAATTGTTCATCCCCTTCAACCGCAACTCCTCGTCAATTACCATCCATTCTTTTTCTCTGTTTTCAATTTTTATACTTTTATCATTTTTATGTTTTTGTCCGTAGAAAAAGTAATTTTATTGTTATAATGCTTGTAGTTGTTCGGATTTCTTGGATGGTTACAAATAAAGTCCCTACTCCTATTTAAACAAAGTCACCTCCTCAATCGAGGGTGGAGATTAATTCGATCTAAGAACTAGGAGTTGTTCTTTAGAAAATAATTTCTACAAAATATCTACAAGTGAAGGTTTTAGAAAGTAAGAATTTTTACCAAACTTATTTACACTTGAAGTTGGGACTAACTCTCTTGGGATAAATAAGTCTTGAACCTATTTTCTTGGACCAAACTTTTCTAATCCAAGGAAATTGGCAAAGGGTTGGGCCGATTTGACTCATAAGTCTTCAACATGTTGACCAACTCCTCCAAAGATGTGTCAGCATATGTTCATTTTGAAGTTAATTATGAACGCTTCATAAGTGTTCGTAGAGAGTAGTATTCAACTAGAACTGCGATGAAGAACGGCTAGTGTCCTCACCACACATGGCCTCAAGGTGAGTTCCTATGTCACCCACGCAAGGAAGCAACAACAGTCAACCCATCCGCAAAGAAAATCCTAGGCGTATGGAGCATGTAATTCTCTATACTCGAATCTAAAATTGAGTAACTAAGCCCACAAAAAAAAAAACTTTGAACGAAGGGATGAAGAAGATGGGATTTCTGCGTGAATTCCACCACCGCGAAGAGGGATCGATTTCACCAATAGTTGGGAGTGAATGTGGACGAGCGACGACGTGGACAAATTAAAAAAAAAAAGAGGGAAGTTACGAGAGTTACTGTTGAGTGAGAGATCTAACTCACAAACTTTGAGGGGATTCATTATTTAAAACGGGGTTTTGAGGTGCACGAAAAAATTATTAAAATCAAATGGCAGTTAGTTTATATTATAGTAATTACTATAAACTAACTGCCATTTGTATTGATGTTAATATATTATTACTCCACCAAAGAATTACATTGTTAAACTAGGAATGTTATATAAAATCAAATTTAATATCAGTATATCACATATTTAAATATCTTAATTCTTACTAATCTGCCCCTCTCCCTTTCTCTCGCTGCAAGGGTACTTTTGGTATTTAAAGAACAATATTGGGGAAAAACTCAAATCCCTGCCATTTTACACGATGGCTCAGCTTTACACCCGATAACTGAGCTCGACGGTGGCGACGCTCAGACGGCTGTCGCGTTCCGCCGCTTCTCCTCCATCCGATCGAGTTGCTGACACCTTCGCCGCCGGTATTTTTTTAATTTCTCACCCCCCACTCTCTCTCACGCGCACATTTTTTGATTTGGTCGCCATAACCGCTTCCACTTGCCACGTTGGAGTACCTCCGCCGCCGCTGCTGCTGCTGCTATAAGGTTTGCTTCTCTCTCCTCTCTTATTTCTTGTTACTTCAGTTTTAAACATCAGTAGGGTTTGACAATTTTCCTTGATCTGAATTTGAAGCTTCTGAATCATGATTTTGAGTTGAAGAATCTGAAATCAAGGACTGACTAATGCGTGTATATTGTCATTTTTTTTTTCAGTATTTATCTAAGATATTGCATTTTACCAATTTGAGTAGCTAAACTATTTTGATTAATACCATCATTTTACGGTTATAATTTCGTTGAACGAATTCAGAACATTTTTATGTTTTCCCTGATGTAGTTTTATCAACATCTTTTGCAGTTTAGTCAATGGAATCAAATGAGGAGCATAGTTTGATGATCGAAGAAAATGAATCAAAGTCAACTCTAATCGATCCGAAAAGACATCGGTTTCCTTGTTGCATTGTGTGGTCCCCACTTCCCGTGATATCCTGGTTTTTCCCCTGTATTGGCCACATCGGGATATGCAGGGAGGATGGAGTCATCTTGGATTTCGCTGGGCCGAACTTCGTCTGTGTTGATAATTTCACATTCGGTGCACCGACACGCTACATTCAACTAACCAAAGATCAGGTGAAATGACCAATATGGCCCTTAATAGTTTTGTTTTCCTCACATCATTTACATAAGGAACCATTCATTTTTGTGGATCCGTCAACTCTTTACTAATACGTCGATAACTTGCATAACTAGTGTTCTGTAAATTAGCTTCTTTATTGAATTTTTTTTGCTAATTTTATGTGGTCTAAACTTTATCATGGGGCTGCACTTCTTTCACTCCTCCGTTTATCATTGTGTGATCCGTAAACTAGCTTATTGATCCAATGTATTATGATTTTGGCTAATTATGTATTCTGGTTTTAATTACATCCCCTGGACATGCATTTCACTTTTCTCGACTCCTCTGCACATCACACACGTGTTAAATAAAATAGCCTGTTGATCCAATAGGCTCTGATTTGTGCTACATTATGTGGTTCCGATTATGTCATGTGGACCTGCAGTGCTACACTTTTTCGACTTATCTGCACATCACCCATCGGTTCTATAAAATAACTTTATATGGTCTAAGTTCTATCTCGGGGCTGCATAGGTTTTGACCAATGTGCGAAATACTTTGTGATTAGCTTATAAATCCAATATGCTATGATTTTGTCCTAATTTATTGTTCCTGCAATGTGCTTAGTGGTGGAGCTAGGATTGTTTTTTTTTTTTCTTTTCTTGGAGGGCAAATATACTCTAAATTTTTTTCTAGGTGGCCGACAATACTACTCTATTCGAAAAATAATTAAGTTCTATTTAATATACTAGGGATTGTGAGAAGTAGTGTGGGGCCATGGCCCCCGTGGCTCTATGCTGACTTCATGTACTCACTGTAATTTTTTGCTAATATTGCAGTGCTGTTCTTTTCTCGACTCATCTTCACATTTCCTTCAAGAAGAATCGATTCAAACTGGAGAAAGAAGAGAAGAAGTTGCGACGTGGGACGATGCACTTCGCAAAAGCACACAAGAGTACCAACACCAGTCGTACAACATCTTAACCTGCAACTGCCATTCATTTGTGGCCAATTGTTTGAACAGGTTGAAGTTTCGTGCTGGAGATTGGAACGTGGTAAGTTTGGCTGTTCTTATTTTCATCAAGGGTAAGTTTGTCAGCAAAACAGCTGTCGTGAAAACGTATTTACCCTTTGTTGTGGTATTTACACTCGGGCTTCTCATTGGAGGAGAGGCATTTCTCACTTATTTGGCTCTCTTTATTTTTGTTCTTGTAGGGTGGTTTATTATTGGTAGTTACTGCTTCAGGAAGTTGATCTATGTGTAATAGCCTTAGTTTCATTTGCTTCTTGACTGGTTTGTTGATATTTTCAACTATATGATTATGCATTTGATGAGGTCTTGTACTCTTGTTTGGCAATATTGATGGGATTGATAAGATTTTTTTTATTTTTATTTTTTAAGGATCAAATATTCAAATTGCTGAAATTATGGGTTGAACTGCACACATAATTAAGATAAGCCAGCAAGAGAAAAGAAAAAAAAAAACAAATAAGATTAAGAGGGAAAAGAAAGAAAGAAAAAAAAACAATAGAAGTTGGTTAAATAGTAACAAGAGTTAAAAACTACAAAAAGTGCATGTAATCCGGATCATAGGCAGGAGACGAGCACGAGGGACAGAGGTGGTTGTGTTCGAGCCATGGAACAAGACAGTGGGAATGAAAAGTTTCTCCGCAGCAAGGAAGGCTCGTTTTTTGAACTCCAAACCACGGACGCTTGGAACATATCGAGCACACAAAATCATCCTCGTCGTCGTCAACGTTGACTACTCTGATTCTGGGCAGTTGCCTAAGAAAACTCATAAGCCTAATAGGTCTGCACTGATTGAATCTAAAACAATCAAGTTCCCACAGATAAACCGGGACCAAGTGTTTTGACCTAATTGCCCTTCCCCTTGCAGCCTCAATCGTCTCACCCTCTTGTTGAACTGTGCAAACGTTGATCCCCACAACTACGGGAATTACCAGGTTGGTCAGTTGTGGATGTGCGGCCGCCTTCATTTGTCTTGCAAAACTAACGGCATCGCTATCTAGTGCAAGTATTTCTTCTTTTGTCATCCAGTAGTCGCCCAGCCTATAACAAATAAAAAAAGCCAAAGGCAGTGATTCTTTCTCGTCATTTGTAATGCATACCCCCAACTTCTCTGAGTCCAAAATCTCGTCATCGTCCTCGTCATCGTCCTCGTCTTCGTCATGTATCGTCGTCGTCTTCTTCTTCTTGAGGATGAAATTAGTTCTAATTTCAAAGATGAAATTACAAGTTCCAGCGTACAATCTGTATCCATGCTCATCTGAAGTTAATCCATAGTCCAAATACAAGTGATGGTTATATTCGAATCCAACTCTACCCAAAAGATCAGCCATCTATTATAATTTATACCTACACGCACAAACAAACACATCCTAAATCAGAAACAAAGAAACAAAGAGAAACATGATTAATCCAAATCAGAACATATACATACATACATACATATGACATATCCCACAAAATCATCGGACGATATTAAAATTAAAACATGATAAATCAGAACATATAATTACGACATATCCCAACGCAGAAACAAACACGATAAATATAAGATTTTAACAACGGATGGGGGAAAAAAACGGATTTTAACAAATTGTTTTGAACATAATAAATCAGAACAATTATAACTGACATACCCAAGCCAGAAATAAAGAGACAAGGGCAGATCATATATCAGAACATCTGAACAAATATACCTATTCACATATCTAACAGCAAATCAAAAAGAAAAACATAATAAATCGGAACATGTTCATACCTTGATGACGGCGAGGATAACTGGAAAAAACGATTGATTGTATGTTTTTCACAAAGGATATATGTGTATATATAGAGAGTCGGCAGAACACAACACAAAACCGACTTGTAATATAATTTGGTTTCCTAGTCAGACTTTATTTTGGGTTCCCTTACAAATTGGGTTTTCGTGTAACATGGAAACAACAAAAGTAGATTAGATGAGGGTATTTTGGGTAATTTTGCCTAAGTTCAAAAGGAGTTCCGTACAAACACCTCCTAAGTAGGGGTTGTCTAGGGTCCCCTACTTACATTTGTTTTCGAATTTTATTACATTTTTAATATTATTTTATCTCAAGCATATTTTTTGTAATCTTATATATAAAAGAAAGAAACGCTGGGCAACCCTAGAAAAACTCTAATGGCATATTTGTAATTAATTAAATCTTCTAATTATTAAAATCTCTTTTTCGGTTTTTGTAACTTTCGCTCCTAATTTTCAGCCCTAAAATCTCTAATGCACAACTAATTAAATCTTCTAAATATTAAAATCTCTTTTTTTTTTTTTTGTAATTGTTTTTATTTTTTTTCCAGCATATTTTTTGTATTAAGCATATATTTTTTTTAATTTTTATTTGTTTTCAAATTTTATCACATTTTTAATATTATTTTATCTCCAGCATATTTTTTGTAATTTTTTATTTATTTTCCATCTCAATCTTTTTTGTTGGATTCCCAAAAACTTCCAACACTTTCAACTTCTCTCTCCCACTTCAACACGTTTATGTTTTCTCTTCATATTTATATCCGACCTCTCAACTTCTCAACCCATTCATATTTAGCTATTTTGCAAAGTGAAACCAAACGATACGGTAAGGGTTCTCCCTATCACCTTTTTTTCACTCCCTCTGTACATTTTATTTGCATCTGTATTTTTCTCATGTGTTTGTATTGCACCCTTTCATCTTTTTTATCAATTCGTGGACTTTGGTAATCAAGTCACGTTCCGGAAGGTCGATATCAAAAGACTTAATACCCAATTCAGCACACGATTTCCTTTTCATAATGCTTCAATCGGTGGATTCACAAATAATAAATGAAACAGGGTGAGAAGCTTCGTAAAATTAAGAATTTTAAGCTGCAGGCTGTCGGATGTGAAGATAGATAAAGATTGTGGCTATAATGCAATTTTCGGAAGTTTCTCAGTCAAGTAGGAGTTTTTTTTCAATAATTACAGATTGACCCCGTTGTGTCATCTCAAAACTTTTTTGTGTTTCATAATAGTTTCTATCGTTGGACTTGCAATCATGGCATTTTTGTTCCTGCAATCATTGGTTTTATGTGCTTCCGTGAAACTCTTATCTTCTTAGTGTAGTCACATTTTCCACGTCTTATTTTACCATGTGTGTATCGTTTCAGTTCTAAGCGTTGATGCAATCGATATGTCGGGGAAGCATGAAGTTGATCTTGACACAAATATATGGAAGGTTAGGAGAAGGGCTTAGTTATGATGCAAGATGCAGAGATAGCCTTTTCCGATGATATGTTGTCAATAAAATTTGCTTATTTTTTATTTTTTGTTTTGTGTAGTAAGTAGACTTTGTTTACTATGTTCCACTGATGAATTATTAATGAATGATTGTAATAAAAAATTTCATCATACGAATACATCAAATGCTTGTGTATATACTTACAACATCAAAACATGCAATTTGTTGTCCCGTGGATCGCACGGGTACAATTACTAGTTGTATATAAAATAAAGAAACGTTTGACAACCCTAAAAAACCCTAATGGTGTTTCTGTAATTATTTATTTTTAATATATTTTTTCTGTACTAATTTTCAATAATTATCAATCTCCTATTTTTTCATCAATATATCTCAAATCTTAATAGATAAAGATAGAAATTCAAAATTTGTTAAATCTAAACCTATTTATTTGGATTATAAATTTTAATATGTAAAATTTTAAAAATACTAATGCTATATAAAATATGAGTAATACTACATTATTAAATTTTACTATGTTAATGTACTATATTTTCTTATGATGTGTTAAATTAATTTTTTTTTTCACTTTTGAAATAATATCCCATGCATCGCACGGGGAAAACATGCTAGTATATATTAATAACATAATTGAAACCACATAAATTAGACAGAATAGTACATAGGATTGATAAACGAAGGAGTGAAAGAAGTGCAGCCCCATGATAAAGTTTAGACCACATAAAATTTGCAAAAAAAAAAAAAAAAAATCAATAAAGAAGCTAATTTACAGAACACTAGTTTATGCAAGTTATTGACGTATTAGGAATTGTATATGATGGTGCTTTTACGAGGAAAACAAAACTATTAAGGGTCATATTAGTCAATTCACCTGATCTTTGCTTAGTCGAACGTAGCGTGTCGGTACGGTGCACCGAATGTGAAGTTATCAACGCAAACGAAGTTCGGCCCAGCAAAATCCAAGATGACTCCATCCTCCCTGCATATCCCGATGTGGCCAATACAGGGGAAAAACCATGATATGATAGCACGGGTAGTGGGGTCCACACAATGCAGCAAGGAAACCGATGTCTTTTCGGATCGATTACAGTTGACTTTGATTCATGTTCTTCGATCGTCAAACTATGATCCTCATTTGATTCCATTGACTAAACTGCGAAAAAATGTTGATAAGTATATCAGGGAAAACTGTAAATTGATGGTACTTAGCAAATAGTTTAGCTACTCAAATTGGTGAATCTCTAGCCCTGGTAAAGTGCAAAATATAGTACTATTGTAAACGAAACGAAATAATAATAATAATAATAATAATAATAATAATAATAATAATAATAATAATAATAATAATAATAATAATAATAATAATAATAATAATAATAATAATAATGGTCAAACAATAAACTTTTAAGGAACACAGCCATCAAAATCTGTCGAAGATTATTGTCTTTATTTATGACTTGATAAATAGATGATATGATTGTTTACTAGCCAGCGAGAGAACAGAAAAAATAAAAACTACAAAAAGTGCATGTAATCGGGATCATAGGCAGGAGACGCGCACGAGGGACAGAGGTGGTTGTGTTCGAGCCATGGAACAAGACAGTGGGAATGAAAAGTTTCTCCGCAGCAAGGAAGGCTCGTTTTCTGAACTCCAAACCACGGACGCTTGGAACATATCGAGCAGACAAAATCCTCCTCGTCGTCGTCAACGTTGACTACTCTGATTCTGGGCAGTTGCCTAAGAAAACTCATAAGCCTAACAGGCCTGCACTGATTGAATCTAAAACAGTCAAGTTCCCACAGATAAACCGGGACCAAGTGTTTTGACCTAATTGCCCTTCCCCTTGCAGCCTCAATCGTCTCACCCTCTTGTTGAACTGTGCAAACGTTAATCCCCACAACTACGGGAATTACCAGCTGGTTGGTCAGTTGTGGATGTGCCGCCGCCTTCATCTGTCTTGCAAAACTAACGGCATCGCTATCTAGTGCAAGTATTTCTTCTTTTGTCATCCAGTAGTCCCCCAGCCTGTAACAAATGAAAAAAGCCAAAGGCAATGATTCTTTCTCGTCATTTGTAATGCATACCCCCAACTTCTCTGAGTCCAAAATCTCGTCATCGTCATCGTCCTCGTCTGAGTCCAAAATCTCGTCCTCGTCTTCGCCATGTATTTGTGGTGGTCTAATTATCGTCGTCTTCTTCTTCTTGAGGATGAAATTAGTTCTAATTTCAAAGATGAAATTACAAGTTCCAGCGTACAATCTGTATCCATGCTCATCTGAACATAATCCATAGTCCAAATACAAGTGATGATTATATTCGAATCCAACTCTACCCAAAAGATCAGCCATCTATTATAATTTATACCTACACGCACAAACAAACACATCCTAAGTCAGAAACAAAGAAAAACATGATTAATCCAAATCAGAACATATACATACATACATACATTCATACATATGACATATCCCACAAATCATCGGACGATATTAAAATTAAAACATGATAAATCAGAACATATAATATAATTACGACATATCCCAACGCAGAAACAAACATGATAAATATAATAAATCATTAATTACCTTGATTAAATCGGGTTGAAGTTATCGATCAGATCCGGGATAATTGGAAAAAACGATTGATTGTATTTTTTTCACAAAGTATATATGTGTATATATAGAGAGTCGGCAGAACAAAACACAAAACCGACTTGTAATATAATTTTGTTTCCTAGTCAGACTTTATTTTGGGCTCCCTTACAATTGGGTTTTGGTGTAACATGGAAACAACTAGGGCTGGCTTTGGTAGGGCAACCGTACCAAATCCGTTGAATCATTACCACTATCGAACTTTCGGTATTATAAAATTCATTACCATTCCCCTGCCAAAAAGTTCGATATACCAAAAGTTTGGTACGGCAGGGTATGGTAATGATAATTACCAATTATGATATCTACTATTTAAATCTAAATTGAATATCATTTTTTCAAAGCAATTCAAGGTATACATGTTTAAAATGTACAAAATTAGTTTTTCTAAATATAAGTATTCTAAATATATGTTTTTAATTTACCCAATATAAAATATTTCTTAGATAAAATTATAACATAAATTTTTTTAACATCAATTATATCATTATTAATGAAAGCAACTTAAAATAGTTTTGACATATCTAAAGAGTATAATTAATTTTAACTAATAGTAGTTAATTAGGATACTATATTAATTTTTTATATATGATAAATGAATTATTAAAATAAAATTTTATTTATTAATAATATTTCGGTATGATAGGGCAATATACCATTTTAATAATATTGAGTGTCGTTGCTCTACCAAAACGATAGGGTACAGTAATAATTCGGTAGAAATATTTCGGTAGATAATCGGTAGGGTTCGGTAGGGCAATTTGGTAAAAAAAAAAACCACCCCTAGAAACAACAAAAGTCAGAGAAACTTTGGTAATTACAAATAGATAGATGAGGGTATTTTGGATAATTTAGCCTAAGTTCAAAAGGAGTTTCGTACAAACACCCCCTAAGTATGGTCAATTTACAAAAAAAAAAGCCCCTCTTGTTTGGATAATTACATCTACCCCTCAACTATAATTTTTTTTTACACCTCCACCCTTATAGTGTCAAGTTCAACATAATTATCTAGATTTCGTAGAATGTGCTCTAGTTTGTTCTCTTTTTATGTAGAAATACAGTTTTTTTTTTTTTTTGATCAATAGAAATACAGTTTCTGATGCACCACAATCTGATATATACAAGTCAAAAAACACTTATTATGATCATCTTACTTCAAAATGTATAGTTCGAGTGGGATAAAACGGGTATAAAAGTGATAGTATTCCATATAATCTCGAAGATTCCACTAAATTTGAGGAGTTGAGGGGTGGTTGTAATTATCAAATCAAGAGGAATGTTTTCGTAATTTGACCATACCTCAGGGAGGGGTGTTTGTAATTTACCCTTTACCTAAAATAAAGCAATAGACGATCCATTTCCCTCAAGGGCAGTTTTGACATTTAATAAATGAAAAAAAAAACGAAAAGAGAGAGAAAAAAGAAATCCCTGCGATTCTACATTCGATTACTGAAGGTCGACGGTGGCGACGCTCAGGCAGCTGCCGTGGCTCGCCGCGCCTTCTCTCTCCGACCGAGTCGCCGGCACCTTTAACTCCGGTCTGCTTTTGATTAATTCACTCCTCCAATTCACATCCCTAAATACTCTCTGAGATGGAGAGTTCAATGATTTCAAAAGGACGATACAAATACGTACATGATGTGAAGATGGGCCCACCGGAAGCCATTGATATTCACCATATCATCTTCGAAAGCAGAGGTGCTGTGTATCTCGCATTCTTCCGATATGCTCTTCTATTTGCCATTGTAGCTCTCTTATTATTTCAGGTATACTTTCTGATGAAAAAATCTGGATTTTTTTGTAGTTTGACATTTGATTAATTGTTTATTAGTGTTCATAGTTTAGATTTAAAGAAGCTGTAAGCCATTTCGGAATGTAATTCCGGTAACTTGGTTTTTTTTTTCTTTTTTTTTGTACTATCTCATAATAGTATATCGCCCTAATTTCTACCACTCTGGTTGATTTCGACATAATTTCGAAACTGGAAAATTTCGAAACAAATGAATTAATATTGAAGTTCACCTTGCATCTTGGAAAATCTCTGTGTACAGACGCGTTTTGTCGACATTTTATTGTCGAAGTATTATCCTAAAGGGAATATGTTATGTGATATATTTGAGTTTTTATTTACGCAGTCGTTTATATAGCTTTATGTTTAGGTCATTAACATTTTCCGTATATGATTCAGAACACGATGAGTTTCCCCCAACTATTGACGCCAGACAATCCAGTTTCTATTGTTCTTTGGAGCTTTACCTTTGCTAGTTTACTCGTAAGACAGTTGCTAAGAAAGCAAGTTGAGAAAGGTGAGCAGCTGTGAAACAACGGACTTTGTGTCCCAAGATAATGTGAATCATGTGCTCGATTAGGTGAATAAGTTCTTTGATCCCTTTGTAAAATCTTGAGTTTCGAAAGTTGGATGCTTTTCCTCTCGTGCTCTTCGGTATAATTTAAAATGTAGATTAGTATTATTATGATCTTTTCACTGAACCGGTAATGGTGGGGTATAAACGTAGATAGTTTCTTTTGGGGAAGACACGGATTTCCATTCTTTTGGCCTCATTGTACTTCGTTTCTGTGTAACAGGGACTGTCATAATTTTGCCAGCTTTTGGGATTCAACTCGAGACTAGTTATAGAAGGTATTCCTTTAAAAAAACGCTTCTTACTTTTCTGTAACGAGCTTTTTTTGTTGCTCCATCATTTGAGGTTTTCTGTATTTCTACATGGTGACAAAAATAGTGAGGATTTTTAATTGGTTTCGCCAATAATGGAGTGAATTTGCATTTTTGCCTAAGTCACATGTCTCTCTTTTTTTTTTTTTTTTTTTTTTTTTTGAACTTCTGTCGGAACTGGTATGGTCGTACAATTACTTAATTTTCTAGATTGATTGCAGTTAACGAACAGTATAGTGCACAAATTGTGAATTGGTCTATTTTTATTTATTTATTTTTCTTAAGAGACTGTGATATCATCTAGTTGTTTGGACCCAAAAAGTACTTATAATAAACCAACTAAATATCGTGAAGGAGTCCTTTCTGGTTGTATGTATAACTTGTGATTATTTGATCTGTCTAAAACAGTGGGACAACAGTTCGTCGGTTTGTTCCAATGGGCAAGATCTTGAAACCTGTCCTTAACGAATGTCTGACTCCAGTTACCTGCTACTGGAGCCTGTCTCTAATTCTACGTGGAGAGGAAGAACTCTTGCTAGTGTTCAAGGTATATAATAAATATCTACATTGTTTGTTGACGCGGTGAAAATGATATTTCTTGTAGTCAAGTGCTTTTATTTTATTAACCTTGTAATTTCATTTAATTTCAATCTCTAGGAATTATATCCTCCTGTCACGATGCTAGTTCCCATTTGGAAGGCTGTGTGTGGTGCCATAAACGACGAAAAACGCACCCCGAAGCAGTAGAAGTGGAAATTATTATTTTTTTCGAGGTAATTTTGCGCATCTTGAATCTCGACTGTCTAAATTCTATCTATTGGAGATTGTTTAAGTTAATCGATAAGAATGAATGTGATGACAATTTATAGTTTTGGGGTGAATCCCACACTGTAAAGATTTTATGTCACCTAGATTGGTTGATCAAATTCGCGGGTTCGACTTTATTATATTCCTTCAAATTAAAAAAAATAAAAAAATTGATGACTCATTATCACTCTCTTGAACAATGGATTTGCAGTGTCGAGCTCGTGAATCTGATATTTTTTCGTTTCTTTTACAGGATTGAGCGAATTTAAGAGGATTGCGCACGAAAAGAAAAGAAAAAAACGGCAGATAGAATATAATAGATCCATAGTTTGAAGTTGAAGGTTACCTTTTATCGAGTTGAAATGTATAAATGGAACAGCAATTGCCAATTAGAACATCCTTTTCTTCTTCTTCACTCTTGCATTGAGATCTTTGTTTATAGGGTAAATTGCTACTGCCCCTGAGGTAAGATATATTTATGAAAAAAACCCTCATGTTTCTATAATTACATTCACCCCCTTCAGTTTGTAGGTTTCTTACAAATTGTAGTGGCTGGATGTAATTTCTCAAACATAAGAGTTTCTTTTGGAATTACCTTTATCTCAGGGAAGTAGTTGTAATTTACCCTTTGTTTACAATTAAATGGACTATTGAGGTATTTAGTTTCTAAGTTAAACAAAATTCTCCTAAAAATCCTATAAGAAATATTTAAGAATGCGTATCTTGTCGTTCCATCAATTTCAAAATAATTGTAAATTTACGTCGGTGATGAACATGTATTAAAAAACGATAAATATGCATGAATTTGTAGATAAACAATATATATATGTAGATAAACAATATATAATGTGAATCCAATATCATTCATATTTAAGAAAAATATATATCTAATCTCTATATCATTCATATTTAAGAAAAATATATATCTAATCTCTATTTAATACTTCAAAGTAATGACTGCGAATTTAAGGAAAAAATATATGTTAAAGATATTTTATATATTGCTAAAATAACTCATCATAAACGATTGAGAACAACCGTGGTAAGGCTGTGGATTTTTTCTGAGCTTCATTCATATATTAGGTGGGCAGAGAATGACCTTTGTTAGGAGTTTAATCATGCACATGTGCATGAGCATGTTGTCACGTATTTGTTCTCTTAAATTTTTGTCCCTCACGATAGTCAAGTCAACATCTCTCAATTGTGTTGCGGAAGCTAAGAGATGGAAAATGAACAAAGAAACACTAGTAAACTTTGTAGAATGTTTGAAATTGCTTGTATTTTCTTGGATGGTTATAGATGAAGTCCCTACTTCTATTTATACTAAGTTACTTTCTCAATAAATGGTAGAGATCAATTCAATCTACGGGTTACGAGTTATTTTCCAGAATAATCTAAATAATTCGTACAAAATATGTACTAGTAGAGGTTTCTAGATTGTCACTTCACCAATAGATGGTGGAGATCAATACAATCTACGGGTTACGAGTTATTTTCCAGAATAATCTAAATAATTTGTACAAAATATCTACTAGTAGAGGTTTCTAGATTGTGTAATACATTCAAAGAAACTACGTATATACAAACAAAAAAACTACGTACATTCAAAGAAACTACGTAACATTCAAAGAACTTTCAACTATTTAAACCACCACCGTGAGGATGCAACTACTCAGCCGCAAAGAAATCCTAACGCGGAAGGGAAATATAGTTCTCTCTACTCAGATCTAAAATCGAGGATCTAAGACCACAAAAATAAAAATTTGAACAAATGGATGATGAAAAATGAGATTTTCGCGTGGATTATGGCCGCAAAGAGAGATCGACTTCACCAGTAGTTGGGGGCGATGGCGACGAGCAATAACAATGTCAAAGAGAAAAAATGAGAAATTATGAGAGATACAGTAGACTAAGAGATTTCTAGGTAAACCGAATAGAAAGAGAGAATAAATAGGCAATTATATCAACTCACAATGAGACGTTTAATTATTTAAAAATGAAATTGTAAGAGCAACTCCAACAATGCCATGGAAATCTACTATTTACATATTTTGCACAATTTCAACCAAAAACCACATCTCCAACAACAAAATGCAAAAGCTTAGAGTATGTAAAAATGTAACTTTGGTTTCTCAAATTTGAGAAACCAAAGTTACATTTTTACATATTCTAAGCTTTTGCATTTTGTTGTTCAAAGTTAACTGTTAACAAATTGTGTAAATATTTAAAATAATTATACTAAATCCCATTCAACCACAAAATATGGTAGTTCAACTCCATGTATTTTTTTCAATTAATTAAATTATTCAAAGTTGAAATTATATTGACGAAAATATTTATATATAATACTTCTTTATTAATAATATTAAACTATTAGTTATTATTATTATTATTATTTGTAATATTTATTTTAAATGGTTTTTACAATATAGTTGTTGGAATATGGTCCTTGAAGTATAATTATTGAAATTAATTAAAAAATTAAAATTTTCAAAATAATAAAATATGATAATTGTGTAAAATATAAATAATATTGTTGGAGTGTGATGTTAAAAGTGTTGTTCTATAAGATTGAGCGATTTTTTACGAAAAGAAATGAAAAAAAAACAGCAGATAGAATATAATTGATCCATAGTTTGAAGTTGAAGGTTACCTTTTATCCAGTTGAAATGTATAAATGGAATATCAATTAGAACTTCCTTTTCTTCTTCTTCACTCTTGCATTGAGATCCTTGTTTATTGGGTAAATTACAACTGCCCCCTGAGGTAAGATATATTTATGAGAAAAACCCTAATGTTTCTATAATTACATTCACCCCCTTCAATTTGTAGATTACTTACATTAGCACCCTTTGTAGGGGTGGATGTAAGAAATTTACAAACTGTGGGGGTTGGATGTAATTTCTCAAACATAAGGGTTTTTTTTGAAATTACCTTTACCTCAGGGAGGTAGTTGTAATTTACCCCTTATTTACAATTAAATCGAATATTGAGGTATTTAGTTTCTAAGTTTAACAAAAAATCTGCTAAAAATCCTATAAAAAATATTTAGGAATGCGCATCTCGTCGATTTACGTCGGTGATGAACATGTATTAAAAAATGATAAATATGCATGGATTTGTATATAAACAATGTGAATCCAATATCATTATATATATATATATATATATATATATATATATATATATATATATATATATATATATATATATAAAAGTCTCTATTTAATGTTTCTGAATAATGAATGCAAATTTAAGGGAAAAAATATGAATTAATGCATTATTAGAACTAGTTCTTCACCCGTGTGTTGCACGGATGTTAGTTTTAAAATGAGAAAAATAATAATATGTAAACGACTATCTCTTTATAATTAATTTGAAGTTGATATAATAATCCTTAATAATTAATATCGTTTATCCAGCACGTTTATCCGGCACATTATCAACGATAATTTCTATAAGATAATTATTAATGTGATTAATTATGTACTCATAAATTTGTAAAATAAAAATATAAGATGGTATCAACATAATGTTATGAAACCTATATGAATACTTATTAAGGGGAAATTAGCTAGACACCCCTTATTCTAAACTTATATAAGTGGAAATTCATTCTATTAGATGAATATAGGTGTAGGTCATTGATCAATTAAAATTAATGTAAATTATTTATGTATAGACATAGATACCCCCAATTAATATTTTTATATAATTAGTTAATTTTAAAAATTAAGGAAACAAATCCTACAAATCTCTCACTCTCTCTCCTCTCCACACGGTTACAAGTTACAACTCTCTCCCCTCACCCACACACCTCTCTCTCTCTCTCTTCTCTCATCCACCTTTCTCTCTCGCACCCTGATTTTATTTCTCTCTCTCAAGCCTCTAGCTAATGTGAAAAATTAATTCTTCATTTCTTTTAAAAAAAATCTTTAATTCTATTTTCATAATTATTTTATAGCAATCTTTAATTATTAACTTTCTTGAGACCATATGTGTTGGATTTTAATTGTTATTTCGTATGTTCTCGATAGTATTGCATTTTTTTTGTTTGCATTTTCTCATTAGTTTTACTTCAGGAAACAACATAATAAAAAATCGGACAGTAAAATAAATTGCAACATAAAATAGAAAACTGCAAACTGCAACTTATAACTGAAAATTGTATTATCAAACACCAAAAATAATTTGAAACAACAAATGAATGTGAATCATTAAACAATCATTTTTTTTTTTGCTCTAGAGGACCTTTTACATGTTAGCAACATGAACAAAAAATGGATCATCTTTTATCTTTTTTGGACAAATACGAGTTGAAACGCTCTCGCGAGCATAAATATTTACCTAATGCAGCGGGAAAAGAATGTAACGAAAATCGCTCATATTCTTTCACACCATGAACTTTTTCACCATTGACATTGATTTCGTGGATGTCCGTATGTATTTAATATTCATTTTCCTCTCTTCGATGTTGTTGAACAACGGCTTTGTCTTTTTTTTTTTTTTTTTTTTTGTTTTTTTTTTTTTTTCTGCAGTGGCTGTTGAACGTAAAATAAAAAGAGATAATGATTGAACGTTACAAAACAACAAATGTAATAATTGCAAATATTAACAACCACTAATTCCAAATTGCAATACAAACGGTTAAGGCAAACTGTAAACGAAAAAATAATAAAGAGTGAAGTATAAACTGTAAACAGTGAAGTATAAACTGTAAACTGTTAAGTATAAAATGCAAATACAAACAGTTAATTATGAAATGTGATAGCATGTAAAAATGCAACAAAAAAAAATAGCAAACAAATTTCCTACGAACAACTACATCGACAATTGTAGCAACAATTAAATCGACAATCCCTAGCAAAAAATAGCAAATAGCAAACCAAAATCATAGCAGCATATTTTTAGACTCCGGTCTTTCACCTATTTTCATTCTCGGACTACCTAAACCACAATTTTCATTATTTCGCCTTCGGTCTTTAGACTGATTAAAAAAAAAACCTCAATTTTCATTCTTCAAACTATCTAAACTTAATGGACTATCTAAAATACCCAAAATCTGCAGACTTCATACAAACGATACTCAAACTAGCAAAATTAAATCGATAAAACCACACACAAACAACAAATTAAAAATGTAAACTGCAAAACTAGACTTATGACATAGACAAGCTTTGAAAGTTATATCCGATTTTGGCGATTCGAAGTCATATTTAGTTTCGTTGGCAATGAAAAATAATGGTTTTCGAATGAGACCCGAAAAATTCAAAAAATATTATGTATTTTTTAGTTAATGGGTGCTTACCGAGACTTGTACGTGTTTGAACCGTCTTTAGATTTTTTTGATGTGTACACGGTGTATTCTCTGTGCGATTGTGCAAATACTGGGAGGAGTGGAAACCTCAAACACCAAACAATGCAAACATGAACCAATACTCCAAATTTGCAAATAGTCTCCAAGATTGCAAACAAATAACGAGCAAACACTTACCAGCAAACAACAAACGAAATTTAGGAGATTGTAAACGATCCGAAGGCCCTACTATGGCGTTCACGGTACAATTTTTTGCTAGGGTTCTTTATTTCTGAAGTCCGTTTTGTGGATGGGTTGGGTTGCTTTTGATATCTGTGAATAACTGCTATTCTTTTGGAATTTTGGAGATTTAAATGAAGGGTTGATTACGGATCTTTTGGAGTATATGGAGTGGAATTTAATTTCCATATAATGTTAGGGACATTTTTAGCACAATAAAAACAATATATTTAGTGATAATAGGAAATTATTAGTTGGACTTTTAGACATAAAATCTACTATAGGAGGACCTATAGCAAATTGCCCCATTTATTAATTGCTAAATTAATCATCATAATCGATATTCATGGTACAATTTAATAGTTAATTTCTTAAAATAAATTGTACCATTATCCTATTTTAACATGCATTATTATTAATGTGATATATTCTAAATGAATACATATATATTCTCATATATTCTCGAAGAAAAAAAGAAAACAAATCAGCATCCATACATAGTTGTCCACCTGGCATATATACGTCATATATTATATTTTTGTATATATATACGGAGCCAATGCATTATAAGCACAAAATTGAGTGTTATTCTTCTGTGCTAAGTTTAAGAGAGAGAAGTGAAGAAAAAATGGCGACGTCGGAATCAGAAGGACAAGTGATCGGTTGCCACCCCATGGAATCCTGGAACGAGCAGCTTCAGAAGGGAAATGATAACAAGAAATTGGTATTTCTCTTCTCTTTTTTTTTTTTTTTTTTTTTTTCTATTTATTCAGTGAATTATTAAGCGTAATTTTTATTTTTATTTGGGATTTTTGAGGCGGATTTGATTATCTGTTGTTCATGAATGGGGAGATCTGTTGTATTTGGGATTTTTTAGGCTAATTTATTATTTTTTTCCCAGATCTGATTTTTTTAATAGCTTAAATCATTAATTTTCTTTTATCGGATGTAAATTACAATCTCTCTCTCTGTTTGTGATTTTGTTGTCGATTGAAAAAGCTTTTTTTTTTTTATTTATTTAAATAAAAAATTAAATCGTGAGATTTATTCAGGAGCATTATTTTTTTGAAATAATAATTTCTGCATGTTTTAAATTTAAATGGAAATAATCGATAAATCAGTGATGGAGATTAGGTTATGCAACAGCGATATTCGAATCATCTAACTTTTGTGATGAGTAATGATTTTTATATTTCACACAGTTTGCATGTATTCACGTACACTGTCATTGTTTAAAAAAAATAAAAAAAAAAATTAAGAGGCCATGTATTTGAATCTGTGTTTAATGAAAGTAATTTCGTTTGCGCAAAGTTAATCCAGCGATATATTCGACATCATAAACTATGCCATAAATGCTGAAATCTACCGATGAATGCAGATAGTTGTAGATTTCACCGCTTCGTGGTGTGGACCGTGTCGTTTTATCGCTCCGTTCTTCGCAGAGTTGGCCAAGAAATTGCCTAATGTGACTTTTCTTAAGGTCGACGTCGACGAATTAAAGGTAAACTTAATCAAGTGTAAAACACATTGAATCTTTTTTTTATAGCAATTCTATGAAAATATATACTTATGATGTAATGAGCATTTCTGTTTTAATTTTTGATTTTGTGAATTTGCAGTCGGTTGCTAGTGATTGGGCAGTCGAGGCAATGCCAACATTCATCTTCCTCAAAGAAGGTAAGATTTTGGACAGAGTTGTGGGAGCAAAGAAAGATGAGCTGCAGCAGATTATTGCCAAACACCAAAATACTGCTTCAGTTTCTGCTTAGATATTATTTTATTTTATTTTATTTTTAGTCGAAAAAACTTATTAAATATGATGCTATTTGATGGGCTAGTTAAATTAGACTGGAAGTTTTATTTCTTTTGCACATTTGAGTTGTGTTGAAAATTGTTTTCGAGATTGATGTCATTAGCAATTGAGTCGAGTAGTGAATTGAGCTCGACTAGCTTGATTTTAGAATTATTTTATCACTCTTTTTTTCTTCTAATCAACCTCGAGTTTATCTTCGTATCTTTTTGACTGAAAATACATATTAATATTCAGTACATCATGTTAATTAATCGAGCTCAAATGAGCTATTAATGATTATTCTCTTCAACGTATTTTCATGCATTCGTGAATCTGACCAATATCGAGTAGCTTGATTTGATATTCAGCCCTCGAAAAAAAGAGTTATCATTTAATATTCCGAAAAAGAGTCATGTTGCCCGAATAAATGATCAAATTTTTGAAGATTAAGCAGCTCTATTTTTATTTTTATTTTCATTATTCATATGACATAAAATTAAAGCATTCTTGATTCATATTTCAATTTTAAAAATGGTTAATTTCTAAAACAAATTTTAAAAAACAATTTTATGTTGTCAGAAAATAAAAATATTATGTACTATTCCTTATTTATATTAAGTACCTCAAACGCTAACCATTGATCTCTTCACGAGAGCAACTCTCGTTGGATCACCTCCAAGTTCCTCGAAAATCACCAGAAAATTCTCGGTGGGCTTTAACCAAGACCGTGGCAAGTGATACCTAAAAAAAGTATATATTTATATTTACTGCCGTTTTACGCACATCCACATGTAAGTGTGTGTTACTATGTGTAAAAAAAAATCGAAGACTAACCATCTCTGAGTTGGTGTTCCACACCCGAGTTGACACTTTGTCGAAGGCTTGAAAATACCCGTGTAACTACAATCGCTGCAATTACCAACTGCAAATATAGTCCAATATCTTCCGAGACTTTGACCGTTGACCCATAGTTGACCTTTCCCCATGCTACTCATGTCGAAAGCTAGTGGCTCTTCTCCATCGGGTGCGTTGAAATAAGCCTATCCAAAGTTGTTTTTATATAAATGTATTTATCTTTATATTATCCATTTAAGAAAAAATAAAACGAAAAAATAAAGGGACTTAATTTGTTACTAATTTGTACCTTATGCCATGCTAAAGGATGTTGCTTACGTGCAATTAGTGAACCCTTTATCCATTCGACCGAAGAAACACTTTTCGGAGAAGCAAAATTCATGGCTTCCCCTTTAAGCCCAACCTGTTTAAAAGTTATTTATTATTTTCATGAGTGTTTTCGATTGGACTGAGGCAAAAAAAAATCGAGATTTCCGAAATTATACCTGATATGACCATTTTGCCCTCGACAAATCCATTTTTCCACGGTCAAGTCCGTGCAATGCAACGGGACCCAATACTCCGGTACTCCATGTCTCAAAATGTCCACCGACATTCTCCATTGAAAAATAATGCCAAACGAAAAAACAACATCGAAATTAGAATAAACGAAATGTATCCATCCACGTCGGTTTATTATATTTCGATAATTTTTTTATTTTTTTTATTTTGAAAATAGGAGAGTTAAGAACTAACTGGGAGTCCAATAGCCACACTGAGGAGACTGATCTTATTCGATCCAGCGCGTAACTTGACTTTCTCTTTGAATGTAAGTCTCCTATTCTCCCGTGTTCCGAAAGCAGAACCTTGAAAATGTAATTAATGTAGCAATTAAAAATTAGATTAAGGACGAAACAAGACGATCTATATGTAATATGTAAGAGCATTGAAAAAAAAAAAGAATGTAATAAATCTTTACGTACCAGATAGCTCTTCGTTCACAAAAACATGCAGCGCGTGACCGTTCGACTGAACAATAAGAGTTGGAAGCTTCCCACCACTAAGACATGACTCCGACGAACCAATATCAACACTGCCAAATAAAAAAAAAAAAAAAATCAATAATATATATGAGGCCTCGTTTGGTTGTCAGTTGTCACAGTCAGATTAGCCAAGACAAGATTATTGGTAAAAACGACCAAGTCGAGCGGGTTTTAGGTCTCACCTAGTTGTGTACCAAAGATAATCGGAAGTATCTCTAGTGACATTTATCTGTTCTAAGAGACCGGTTGTCGAGAATGTCGTGCCGTCACTCGAAGACGATAGATCCTCGTTATATGTTTCCCACGATAATATTTCAATGTTACTAGGTAACATTTCCTCGCGTAATGTTTGAACTCCGACCTGTGGAAATATCATATGTAGAGGAATCAAGAAAATCTCGCATTTTATAACATTTGATAGTTAGAGCCACTAAATTAGTGTTTATTGCGTTTAGCACCGTGTATTTACTTTAATTGTTAAAAAATCTCCCCGTGTTATTAATATTAACAAACAACCCATTATGATTCAATATTTTGCGGGGTGATTGCTAAAAAATGTTATCGCTGGGGGTGTTTGCTAATATTAATAAAATGGCGGAGTTTTTCGCAATTAAATATAACACAGGGTGCTGAATGCAATAAAGTCAACCAAATTACGAAGATTACTACGTACTTTGGCTGTATTGAAGGCTACATTCTTGCAATCGGGGAGAATGCTAATAGACCAAGGAGGAAGGCTGTAATGAATGTTATTAAACATCACTCTCGCTTCAGTGGCAGTATCGTAATTCGAAAGAAATGCGGCACAATCACCCGATTCTGAAGAGTATACACTAGCCTGGAGTACAAAAGTCAAATGGTCAACGAACAATATATATATATATATATATATATATATATATATATATATATATATATATATATATATAAAACAATAAAACAATAATTGCATGAGCAAAAAACCTGTTGAAGGCTTCCTAATGAAGTGACGGTGGAATCTGATGAAACGAGAGCTTTCTCGCATTGTTTAATGGCTATATGTAGCTCTTTCAGATGACCGTATTTAGGTTGTCTGATCAAACCTATCAAAGTTGAAGTCTTTTTTAAGTCCAAAGTAATAAAGCAAGATCTTAAATACTATAATCTTTAATTATAGAATAGTTGTAGTTTTTTAAAAGAGATTAATTAATTAGATTTATGTTTACCATATTCATCGAGCGGAGCATCGTAGTCGTAGCTTGTTGTTATGAACGGGCCTCCAGCCGAGCGGCCGAAATTCGTTCCTCCATGATACTGTTTGGCAAAACATAAGTTTCTATTTTTAGGAATAAAATTAATTACAAAAATAGAAAGCACGGTAAATTTTGAAAACAAACCATGTAGTAGTTGACAAACGAGCCTCCGTTTCGTACGAATTTAGCGACGGAAAATGCCAAATCCTCAACCGGCCTCTGGTGAATCGGACCACCGAATTCCGTAAACCTAATTATTGATGCAAGAGAAAGACTATATAGTAAAGAGTGGATGCATTGACCATATTCACTCTAGTAAGTCAACAAGATAACCGAAAAATACAAAAAAAAAAAAAAAATACTTAATTACCATCCACTCCAAGCCTCGGTCCATATCGAGGGTTTGTAAGGTTTATTCGGTGAGAAAGCATCGCAATAGAACCCGTTGCATGTGTTAATCTATCAATAACATAAGAAAATAGTCGTAAATGGTCGATGGACATAGCTTCAAAACCGAAATGTATATATACTTCGTTTTTCCAAGTCAACCAAAACAAGTAAGCAGTTAAATTAACGTGGATTTTATTGCATTTAGTACCCCTTTGTTATATCGAGTTGCTAAAAAACTCCCCGCGTAGTTAATATTAGCCAAAAAAACCCCTTATTGCATTTTTTAGCAACCCCTAAAACTCCCCGCGATTAAATTAGCCAAAAGAACCCTTATAATGCATTTTTTTGCACACAACCCCCTAAATAGTGAGCTTTTACGGGGGTCGTTTGCTAACCCCCTAAATAGTGAGATTTTTAGCAATTAGAGAAAACACGAGGGTGCTGAATGCAATAAACCCATACAACGTGCATTGATTAAAGGATCAAATGATTGATTACCACAGGATCAGGTGCATCGTCTTCTTTGCACATTACCCACGGTACACCTGTATCTAATCCAACGGCCATATTTGCAGCCCAATTCGCGTATTGATGGCCAGGATTACCTAGTTGCTTCGCTTGTTGACCGTACTCATTCTCAATCTGTTAAGGGTAATAAGACTTCAGCATGACGAAATAATTACGAAAAGAAAAAACGAAATGAATAAAAGTCGAACCTGAGAGAGTATTATGGGACCACCCTGAGATTCGTACAAGTTTTCGCTCTTCATTATATTGACGATTTTCTCGGTGAATCCCTTCATAGCCATCTGTCACATCACACACCATATACTGAAACTATCATCATCATCGTAATGTAGTTAATTAACGGCGTAATTAACTTGATAATGACACGGTTAAAGTGAAGCATCGACAACCTTAAACGGCTCGTTATCTGTCCTGAAGCTAATTCCCGGCACGTATTTTAGCCAAACTGGAAATCCACTACAGCCACAAAAAAAAAAAAAACAAAAAAACAAGAACATGATTAATGAGAGATAAATAGTTATTTTTACAAGAAATATAGCTGATATAAAAAATGTTTAATTACCCAAAATTCCATTCAGCACAAATATACGGGCCGATTCGGAGGTTCGCATATAGCCCTGCTTTCTTGATTGTCTTTACAAACCTCACCAGATCATATCTCCCTTCAAAATTATACTAAACAAGTAAAAACCCACAAAAATATTATCATCAAAATTCAAACTTTCAGTGGCAGAAAACCAAAATTTTATAGAAAAACACACACACACACACATGAGAGAGAGAGAGAGAGAGAGAGAGAGAGAGAGAGAGAGAGAGAGAGAGAGAGAGAGAGAGAGAGAGAGAGAGAGAGAGAGGTACATTGCCAGGAGAAGGCTCATGAACATTCCAAAACACATAAGTCTCAATTACATCAACACCTCCTTCTTTAGCCTTGTTTATCAGATCTTCCCACATCTATTAGACGCACAAATACAAAATCAAGAAAATGCAATAAAAATTATATATTTTTCAAGTGGAATAAAAATAGAATATACCTCGGGGGTGCTTCTGGGGTAATGTATTGAACCAGAGATGAGAATTCTTCTCTGCCCATTAATTATTAGGGCTTTTCTGTCATAAGTGATTCTGGATTGAACAACCCCACATTCAAGAAACACCACCACCGCCATGCACACACTAAAAACCCATTTCGAAACTGAGTTATTTTTCATCTTTCTATATGTAAAACTTGCATCTATAGTCTATAGATACACCCCTGTACTGATAGTCTGATACAGAATTATAGTGTAGAATCAAGAATCTGAGCAAAGAATGTGTTTTTTTATTGTGTACAATGTGTGTGTGTGTGTGTGTACAGTTGTTGTATGTACAGCTTTTGAATCACACTCACTGAGTGAGCTTCAACAACTGACAAAAGGGAAATGTGGAGAGATGAGAGAGAAAGTGACAAACAGAAAATAAAAAGGATTAGGACAGCTCGGATGAATGTTGATTTAAATATTATATTGTTGATTAAAAGAAACTTAATCATTAGTGAGATTTAATATTGATTGGTGTGAAGTTTGAGTAGTGTTGTTTTTAAATTAGCAAATGATAATTGTGACTGTAATTTTTCTATTATTTAAATTGGACTGGTTAATTAGCTGTCATTTTTTAAATGTGGTTTGTCATTTTTCTTTGGTCAGTCAAAGTCAGCGCAAGTCGTTCCGTTTGAATTTTACTAATACCGTTTTGATTTTGAACGTGATTTTTAGCGTTTTTTTAGTTTGAGTTTAGCAAAATTCAAATCAGCTTGATTTAATAACGCACGAAAATTATGCATGAGTGAATTTAGATGTGAAAGTTATGAGCAGTATTCGTTGATTCATGCATATCTTTCTTAGTCGATATTCAATCTTGCCGATTCAAGTTCAATTAGAAAATTAACTCAAAGAACTACAAATACCGTGTTGTGGAGTTTACTAAATTCAAACTCAAACTAAAAAATAGTCAAAATCAAGTTTAAAATCAGTCACCAGTCGAAACTCGAAACATTATAATTAAAAGTGAAACGACATTTATGACATCCTCTAAGTTAAAACTTAGAAAGTTAATTCAACACAATCTAGAAAATGGTAAATTAGTGCAAAGCAAAAAGTGCCAAATCTTTTGGCACTAGTAAAGAGAAAGTAAAAAAGAAGCAATAAATTGGAACCACTTTCTATGATTTAACTAAGAAAATGCTCTTTACGGTTTAAAAAGTGCTATTTACCGTTCAAAACAAAAAAGTGTTTATCTCTCTAAAACCCCTAAAATTTTCGAAAAAAATGGACGAACGCCCAAGTCGGGCGCCCGCCGCCTGAACAGACGCCCAAAGTGGGCGTCCGTTCAGGCGACCGGCGCCCGACTTGGGCGTGTAAACAGTTTTTGGACGCCCGGTTTATTATTATTATTATTATTATTATTATTATTATTATTATTAGAACATAATATAATAATAATAATAACATACTAACATTCATTATAACATCATAACATAATAATAATAACATACAATGTCAATAGTAATACATTCATTCCAATAAAAAAAAAAACAAAACTAAATCAAACACTATTTAGAATATCCCACGCTTCACGTCGACTCCGCAACGCCTTTGGTAGACTACTCTGACCTCCCATATATTGGAAAATGATTATGCTTCCCGTATACTACTCTGACCTCCCATCTATCGTCCGACCGTAGCTCTCCGACAATTTGAAAACCACAGTTTCTTTTTTTGCTACCGGTCCTTCTCGGGCGCACGTTTGGGTTAGTTGATGGACATTCTCGTTTCTCCCCGTATAGGTCACAAGTCAGAAAAATCTTTTTTTTAGAACAACTTTTTTTTAGCATTTTCACAAAAAGACCTCTTGCAACGAACCTCGCCCAAACCACTACCTCATCCTTCGAGTCAAACAACTGAGTTGTTGTAAAATAATCGGTATGATCAACTTCAATTGTAGACGTATCGTCCTGAAAAAAGCGTAAAAAAATTGATAAAAAAAAAAAAAAAAAAAAAAAAAAAAAACGTTTCAAAGCCAAAAGCCCAACTCGGGCGCCCGAGGG